ATGAGGAAATTGAAAATATCCAGGCATCTCTGTTTGGCGGCTCCAGTGCAGTGGTTCCCAACCTTCCTAATGCCACGACCCTTTGATACAGTTCTTGATGTTGTGGTGACCCCCCCACCCATAAAATCATTTTTGTTGCTACTTCATAACTGTAATTGTGCAGTTATGAAACGAGCGACGACTGTGAAAGGGTCGTTCAAGCCCCAAAGGGGTTGGGACCCACAGGTTGAGAACCGCTGCTCCAGAGCTAGGTTCACCAAGGAGGTGAGCCTCTGGGGGCCTGTCCTCAGTGATCAGTGGCCGGAGACTCACCTGGACCTGAAAGGAGGGGTGGGCCAGCAGCTCGCCCAAGCGATTGCAGCAGCTGTGGTAACGGTGTCGCATCCACACCTTGTACTTGTGCGTGGCGCCCTGGGACCCTGCGGGTGGGGCCTGGGGTCAGCTGTGAGGCCCGTGCTAGGCAGCCGGGCTGCCCACCCTGGGACCGCCGACGAGCTCAGCCCAGGTAACAACATTGGGTACAAGTCACGTCCCCCAAACCTGGATGACCCACGGGCGTGAGGGGTGAACGGGCCAAGGCGAACACATGGTAAGACACGCCTTCCAAATGTTCAGGGCTTAGGGGGGGCCCTCGGGTGCTGTGGTTAAGCCCTCGTTGCCAACCAAAAGGTCGGCGGTTCAAACCCCCAGCTCCGCGGGAGTAAGCCGAGGCAGTAGGTGCCCGGAAGTACAGCATCGCAGCCTCGGAAACCCAGTGGGGCAGATCCCCCCAGGGCGGCGGGTGGGTGTAGTGTTTGCAGGGCTCTTGGGTCAGCGCCCTGGTCCCCGGCAGTCACCACGTGGACCTGGCCTCTCCTCCCCACAGCGACCCTCACGGGGCTCACCGGTCATGACCGCGTCTTCCGGGGGCAGCCGGCCCACAAACAGCTCCCCTCGCTCCAGCAAAGCCCCAAAGAGGCGGCTGCATATGCGGATGGCGTCCTGGATCTCCTCCGGGCTGTCAGCCTGCGCGCGCGAGAGCCAGGCCGTGACTCCGCGCTCCCCGGGCCGCCCCCCGCCCAGGCCCCGCCGCGCGCGCGCACCTGCAGCGCCGCCAGAATGTCAAACACGCGGTTGGCCTCGCCGCGGCTGCCCAGCACGGCTTCCAGCAGGCGGCCCAGCGCGCGGCCCGTGCCGCCGCCCGTCTCCATGGCGCGACTGAGTGAGCGCACGCTGTGGGGGCACCTGCTCCCCTTGGGGGATGTGGAGTGGCACCGTCTCAGGGGCCCCCCAACAGCACTCACGAGGAAGACAGGAAGAGGTCGGCCAAGTGGAAGAAGCGTGCCCGGTACTTGACATGGAAGACGGACGGCTCTAGGAGGCTGTAGAGCTTCCGATAGAAGTCGGGGTACTCCCTGGGGGTGGGGGGTGCGATGGTGAAGGACCAGTCTCAGGGCCCCGGGTCCCACCCGTCCCAGAAGGCTCCTGGCAGGGACACACAGGAGCCCTCAGCGCCCCCACTCACAGATTGTGCTTATGGATCAGGATGAAAAGTCCGTTTAGGGCCAAGAGGCTGATGGCACCACCTGCAGAGAAACCAGCCCCTGACTCCCTGCCCTGCCCTGCCCTGCC